TTTCATTAGGAGGATTAACTTCAATAAAATCATGCTTGCAAGTTACCTCACAGTCATGTGCCATCAACTAAATGTTATTAAGCGAAAGATAGTTTTCCATAGCAGCCACACACCCCTCACCCACCCAGGTCAGATACAGGATTGATTTGGGAAGAGGAGGCTGGATGCCTGGCTGGTTCTTCTTAGTAGGAATGAAAATAAATGCATGTCTCACTGGGTGAAACTTCAACATTGGCAGAAGAGTTGGCCGGCCCCTGGCTAGTCTAAACCAAGTTTCTTCTTCAATTTACACAAGAACCTCTTGGCTGTTGAAGCTGCTCTATTTGGAGTTCAGGATCAAGTCCCAGCCTCAGTCAAAGCTGCCAAAGAAATGCAGAGGCAAGGTCTGAGGGCTTGCCTTCCCTTGCCCTCTTGATCAGCAGTAAGCAGAAGAGGTGCCACAATGAGGTAACTCGGAAGAGAACAGTACATTCTTCTTACAGTAATTATGGGGGAACTCTCGATGGTAGTATTTGCTCTGGCTCACTGAGACTGTCTCATTCCTAAGAAGCCACATCTCTGTTATGTCCCTGTTAGAAGACTAGAGAGTATTAAATACAAATCTTACCACTTTAATTTCTGAGGTTTGTTTTATCCTGGAAAATCTCTTATTTTGGAAGTAGAGAGAGTGCTTTTATTTTCTACAGGAAAGACCTATTATTAAAACTGATCTAAGATAGCTTTGAGATCGACAGACTCAGGTGGCCAGGGCTGGGCATTTACCGAAGCGATGGATTTCATGTCGACAGGGTCCTGTGCTGGGCCTGCTTTGTGCTGGATAGATGGAGTAATGATCCCTGGAGAGAAGGTCTGAGGGGGGAGGCTGCAGTCACCCAGATTAACCCCATAGAAAAGGAAGGGTGGCTGGCATGGGCTGGGTGACATTTCTCCCATAGTGTATCGTTTTGTACAGTTTGCATTTTGAACCAGGTGAAGGCATCATCTACAACTCCTTCTGCTTGGATAAAAGTACAAAAGAGGTGTCCCTTTGACAAAGCTGGCTCTGTGACATCCAATGAGGTACAGAAATATTAGGTGACCCCCCCCCTTTAGAGCCCACCAGAGACTATAACCAATGCTCAACACAGGGGAACCCCTAGATTATTGATGCTCTCCGAGTTCTATCTTCTGAAAATGAATTTTCCCATTGGCTATGAAGGCAAAAGGGCTTTAGGGCCTCTTGCAGGCTAGAATCAGTCCATTTTAATCCAGTTTCATATCACCTAGAAAAATTTGACTCTTTTTAGTGTAGCACAGCAGACTGTATAATCTATTTATCCTTGCAGGACTAATTATTTTATTTTTTTTTTAAGTTTATTTTTTACATCATTTAGCACATTTTTTTTTTCATCTCAATTGTAATCCCCACGGGTTTCCCATCACCAAATCACCCCTGTGCCACCACCATAGTCCCGTGCGTTTCCCTCCCCCCCCCCCCGTTTTTGGTCCCATTCCCCACTCCACCCCCACAGAATGGAGGACTAATTATTTTTTGCAAAAATGGCACCATGCTATCCAAGTCTCTTCACAGCCCCATCTTGACCTATGCTGTCCAAGATGGTAGCCACTCGCTACATGTAATGATTTTTCAAAAAATTTAAAAAATAAAATAAAATGATAAATCCACTTGTTTAGTTCTCTGTCACATTTCAAGCGCTCAGTAACCACATGTGGTCAGTAACAGCCATGTTGGATTGCTGCACAGATTAGAACACTTCCATCACTACAGAAACTTCCATTAGTGGACACTGCTCTAGACAATCTCTAATGTTTCTTTCAGCTCTGAGACTATCAATAAATGGAAACCTCACAATTCATCTCCATCTGTTCACCTGTCTTCATTCTTAAGCCTCCACCATCGTTTGCTTAGTAATCAAGATGGTTACACTCAGATAAACTTCCTCACCACAAATGCTGACCCACAACAAGAGCAGGCCTGCTGTCAGCAGGGGGCATGCAGCAATCTATTTGTTATGTAGTTGCTGACCTCTAGGGACTATTAAAAAGTGACTGAGTTGTCTCTCATCTGTGTGAGATGAATCCTGTCACAACCTCATCTCACCACCCCAGGCCACCCCACCCCCACCTTGTGCTGGTGATCAAATAGCCTTTGGTTATTTTACTTATCCACTGCAGTGAACAAGCAACAGACAGCTGGGAACAAGGGTCAGGAGGCCTTGTGGGAGGGAACATACATAGCAGGCAAAATAGCTTGCCTGGCTGGGAGCAGACTGTGGGCCAGGTTAGGGGAGGGAGCCAAGCCTCTCCGCTCCCAGGCTGAGAAAGACAAGGAGACAAAAGGAGAGATCTGGGCCTCTCTCTGGGCAGGTGGGCTGAAGCCTCTGTCTATTTGGCAGAGGAGACTATGCAGGTAGCTCTCAGCTTCAATACTGGGCATCCAAGAGGAATCCCAGTGTGGGAATCCAAGAGGAATCCCATGACCTCTTGTCCCAGGAGTTATGCTGTGATTGGGTTGCATGATGTATAGAGTAGGTAGATTTTTGCCAATGTAATTAAGATGCCAAATCAGCCCCAAATCAGCTAATGTTGAGTTGACAGAAAGGGAGCATAGACTGGGTGGGCTTGACTCAATCAGGTCAGAACTTTGAAAGCATCTTAAACACCTACAAGATATATATAGTTGAAGGGGTAGAGAGAGCCCCCGTACTCTTAAAACCTAAGTATGTAAGTCAACATCACGTCAATAAAATCAATAATTTAGGGCTCTCCCTGGTGGTGCAATGGGTTAACGCACCACATTATGAAGCTCTCCAAAACCACTGTAGCACAAGAGGCCAAAACCACTGGCCAGGGAGCTGACCTACATGGGGCGGCAGACCTCTCTTGACCGCCTGCTGCTCCCCTCAGCAGTATACTTTATCAATCTACCTGCTCTGCTCCCCACTCTGTCTCTGGTGAATTCTCTCACCCCCTGCACCTCCGACCTGTACCTCAGTTCTGTATGCATAAGAAATAAATCTTTAAAAAAAAATCAATAATTTAAAAAGATAAAAAGAGGTCTTCCCTTGTCTTGGGAATGCAGACAGTCCTGCTGTGAGAACTGTGGGGAGGAGAGGGGCTGGTAGCTGAGGGCCTGGTCCTGCCTCTGTGAACCCAACCTGAATATAGCTGAAGATGGGAAGAATGCAGCCCCGCTGGTCCTCTACAGCCTCTGAGACCCACAGGGGGGCCAATGGAAACAGCTCCAGGGATACAGACTGGAAACTGAAGTAAATACTGACTGGAAACTGAGGGAATCGGTGTACTAAGAATTGCAAGTAGTAATTGCAATAACTGGTTACAAAGCAGCAGAAAACGAATATTCCTTGTTACCTAGGAGGGTCCAGTCCCCTCAATGGACAAACGGAAGTGGGAAAGATCAACCTTTGAGACCCAAGTAGCTTCCTTCAAAAACTCTGGAAGCCCTTAGCCTGCAGGAAGTGTGTTTCCTGGAAGAGGTCAGGAACTCATGCTTCTATTTACCAGAACGGATTGTCACCAGCTTGAAATTCAATAACTACAAAATATTCTTGAAAGTGTCTTTTTGGCTCCCGGGAACATCATGTTCCTTCCTGTTGGTTGACAAAAGATTGATATTTGAAATGGTTGCTTTACGAAAGCAAAACTTAGGGGAAGAGCTTAGATGCAGAGAAGGTAGAAATCTCAACACCTGTCTCTCCTCCCCGGCAACAGTAAACACATCCGTAAAATGGGTCTAACACTAGTTCCATTTTGAGACTGGGATGAGAACTGAAGGAGCAGAAATGATGTCAAAGTTCTGGTAGCATAAAAGCTCTCAGCAGGTTATCAATTTTACTTTTGAATTTTTAGATCTTTAAACAGTGACTGATGTTTAAAGATCTAAACATGCCCCAAAAGTTTTAGGCAAGAAGGGCACTGAGAGATCTTGTTCCAGCCAAGGTCAGAATGGAGCACATCTGCCCTCAGGACTCTCTTTTCTGTTTGTCACTTGGCAGAATGGACATGTCTCTGCCTATGACTCCAGGGAACAGGTCCATGACAGCAGCCCACAGCATACCCCCAGGTGGCTTTTTTTTTTTGAAGCTATATTTATTTATGCATATAAGAGCTGGGTTATTTATGCATGCAAGAGCTGGGGTGCAGGCTAGAGCTGGGGGGGCAGATGTGAGAGGGTTCACCAGAGACAGAGTGAGGAGCAGAATAGGCAGAGCTACAGAAATACACTGCTGAGGGGGGCAGCGGGTGAGGCAGGAGAGGTCTGCTGTGCCGTGTGGATCACCTCCCTGGTCTGGCATTGAACTGGTGCCATGACTTAACATTTTGTGCTACCAGGTGGCTTTTTCAAAGGCCTATTGATTGTGTTTGGGGACTATGTTCTGTGGCTAGCCAGGTCAGGCGTATGTCTTAGCATACTGTCTGAGGTTCCTGAAACATCTCTACATACCTGAGTTGGGTAACCCCAACAAATAGAAAAAGGTGGGCCAAGATTTTAGACCCTGCGAAATTCTCTGGACCCAACCTGATCACCCATCACTGAATCATGCACTTGGAGAAGCTCCAAAAACTAGACCACACGTTCTCCACAGGGGAAAGAATGTGGTTACTGCATCCATCCAGAGCCTCTTTGTAAGCTTTTAATGATGAACAAGTAAGATTGGCAGGGAAGCGCAAGCGCGGTGGTTTCCACCTTTGTCCCTTAGACCACAACACATGATTTCTCCCCAGTTTTCCTCCCCAGGCAAGATTCTGCACCTTTTTGCCTGAAAGCTTTCTCTGAAGTCTTTGAAAGCCGCTCCGCTAGCAGATGGCAGAGGACTAGTGGGAGATGGCGGCACTGCCCTGGCTTCCTGCCCCTTCCCGGGTCTTGTGCTCCGTATCACTGTGCAGCCCCTGTGGGTGCGCCCTGCGCTAGGGGTAGCTGGATGGATATCGCGATATCGCGTCCTCTCTTGGTTCCTCTCTGCTTCTCCACTTGCTACTATTTTGTTTTTCCTCCCCCAAATCTAAGCCAACCACCTCTACCACAATATTTGTATCAGGATCTGTTTCTGGGGAAACCTAAACAAAGACATAAATGAATCATGTCAGTTAATTTCCAGCCTCCCTGGCCGGAAAGGTAATTAAAGGCCTGTTTGTATTCTCTCTGCATTGTGTGCTCTTGCTGCTGAGAGATGCAGACAGGAGATGCTCAGATATTGGGGTGGGTAAATGTCAGCCCCCCTAGGGCACCACTGCAACTGACAAAACTATTTATTGGGGGACTTCTGGCTGTCAGCTTTGATTCCTTCTGATGATCAGAGGAATTCACTCACTCTGCAAATATTTTCTGAGTTCCACCTCTCTGCATGAGGCCCAAGAAACACCAGCCAAACTAAAACAAGTGCTGTCTGTTTTCTCTGAGATGAAGCGTTCAGATTACTCTATTAAAAAAACAAACACTAATGAATCTGTTCAGAATTACAGAAATACAGTTGAACTGACGATGATTCTCATGAGGGGAGGGGTGAATCATAATGACTAGATTTTTTTTCTTTTTCATACTATGTGGGATTTATTTCTGTTAATTATAATGGCCCGGTCCTTTCCTATAGAAATAATCACTCTAGGGCTTCCCTGGTAGCGCAACAGGTTTAAGCTCAACACAATAAAGCTAAGCAGCCACTATAGCACAAGTGATCTCTGGTCAGGGAGCTGACCACATGGCGGGCAGACCTCTCCTGTCCCCCGCTGCTCCCCTCAGCAGTGTATTTCAGTCCATTTGCCTGTTCTGCTCCCCACTCTGTCTCTGGTAGATCCTGTCACGCCCACACCTCCGGCTTGTACCCCAGTTCTGTATGCAAAGTAAATAAATCTTTTTTTTTTTTTTTAAATAATCTCTATAATGTAGTGTATACCTCAAGCACCTCAAGAGTGTTGGAACAGAAGCAAAGTTGTAGACTTCTGGGCTACTGAGATTGAGCTTTGGGAACAAAGCTCAGAGTGGAAAAAAGGTCCCTGGACTAAGCCAGGAGCTGAGCAATAGCACACCTGCATGTGACCCCAGGAAGTCAGCTGTCCTCTCTGGTCATTGTCTTCACCCCTGAGATGAGGGAACCGGGTTCGGTGATCTCTGGACATGTTTCTTGGAAATATTCATGAGTCCTATAAAAAGAGGCAATGAACCAAAAATCAGATCTTTGATTATGCCTCCTTTTGCGTTATTTCACTTCTCAGCAGGTTGGGGTTGGGGGTTATCTGCATTTTGTGAAGTTACTATGAATGATTTGCGCATAAAAAAAGTGTGTGAATGACATGCTCCAAGGAATTGAAGGTTAGAGGCTGTTGAAGGGTGCAGGGTAGAGAAATGGGGGCTTGAAAGATGCTTCCTGGGCTGGTGAACATTGGGAAACCCAGAATTGATGAAGGCCCTGTTGGAAAGGTGCCTATTGATACTTGGGGGACAGAAGGTGGTGGCCTTGTAGAAGAAAGAACAGAAAAGTCCTTTCTGGTTTTCTTCTGGTAGATTTTATAAACTCACGTGGATCTTAACCCTAGCTGTGAATTGGAACCACCCACAGAACTTAAAGAAACGTGAAGTCCCTTTCCTCCTCTTGATTTCACTGGTCTTGGGTGTGAGTCTGTATCTGGGCATTTTTGAAAATGCACTGAAATTATTCTGCTGTGCAGCTACTCAATAGTGGCTAAGGAACAGGTTTCTGGCCTTCTTTTAGAGCTATCCCCCCATTTACTTCATACTTTCCTTCTCCCTCTGCCTCAAAAATTTCAAAGTCATGAATGGGAAATAAAGCAGGGAAGAACCAGTTCTATGCATCCTATTTTCTGGTTAATTCCCTTACTGTTTAGGAGCTTTAATAAAAGATTTTCCTCCATGACTATAATTCATACTACCTAAGGAAAACTTGGGAAATAAGAAAAAAATATCTCCATGTGGCAAGTATGCCTGTCACTGACAGCCATGACTGCACAACACTGTGAACACTTAGTGTTCCTTACCTACCTTCTTTATGCTTCCTCCTTTGTGGCTGTTTTTGCGCTAGAGCGACAGAGCTGAGCAGCTACCACAGAGGCCATCTGGGAGCCTGAAAATTTACTACCTGGTCCTTTACAGAAAAAGTTTGTTAGCTCCTGGTCTTTATTGTCTGTACTCTCTTCACCCTCATGTTACCTTAGTAAGTGAGCATTTTCCCTTGTTACAAATGCTTCATACTTGTCAGTTCTAATAACTGCCTGAGAGCTCATTGCATGGTTATTGTAGTTTAGCCTTCCCCCTATTATTAAGCATCTCTGCTCCCCTCCCCATTTTTCACTTATAACAAATTCTCAATGAGCATATTTGATTATAAAATTTATCTGTGTTTTCAGTTATTTCTTGGGGGATAGGGTCCAGATTATTCAACTGGAAAACTGGGGCAAGTTAAGACTCTCAATACTTGGCCCCCAACTCCTGAATCAGGATAGCATATTAGTTTGTGCTCCCCAAGAATAGAGAATCTACTTTGCCAAATACATGCCAGTGGAGGTTTTTGCCATTTGAAACATTTTCTGTGTCCAGATAGGTAAATGAAAGTCCTTATTTTAATTTGGATTTCTTTTGTGTGCTGTGAGATTGAAGTGATTGCACGCCTTCCTTTGCAGACTGAGTCCTCATCTTTGCTTGGCCTGCTTCTGCACAGGACAGAGTGGTGGGCGCAGGGCCTGCCTCTCACCTTGGTTTGGAGGAAGCTTCCTGCCTCTACATCTCTCTCCCAGGGAATTCTGATGCTCCCAAGGATGTCATCCAGCCCAGTGCCATTGGGCACATCCATGTGTTCTAGCTCAGATTCTACCAGCTGTTTACATAGCACTTTCTCTCTTGGAAATGATAATATACACCTCAACTGAGTCCCAAGGGAGAAAGAAAAGGTAGATTCTAAGCCCTGTTCTGTGGGGCTACCCCACCTCTCATTCTACTCTGCCAGACATGGGGCTTCAGAGGAAAGTCCTGAAGCCTCTTCTCAGCAGAGAGGCCATATTTTCTTTTCCCAAGGATCCATTCTTAGGTCAGTTTTCACCAGCCTTGGCCCTCCCAAAGCACAAATCTAAATAAATAAAGAATGAAATCACGACAATAATGGAGCAAGCAACAACAGCAAGATGAAATTTATGAATTCCATAAAGTTAGAGCACACTGAAAGAGATTTAAAGGTAACTTTGGAGTCTGTAAAAGTTTGTCTTTGGAAACTGGTCGCTGAGCTAAGAACAGGAAAAAGTGGGCTTACTGATTCCTGGTTAGCATAAGTTTGGACAAAAGAAGGGACTTCCCAACATGAGCATCGCCAAGTAGGTTTTGACTTTTTTAACGGAATGCACTTTACTTTTATTTAAAAATAAGATTTATTTATTTATGCATTCAAGAACTAGGATGTAAGCCAGAGGTGTGAGGGTAAGAGGACTCACCAGACAGAGTGGGGAGCAGAATAGGCAGATGTACTGAAATAGAACGCTGAAGGGAGCAGCAGGTGAGACAGGAGAGGTCTGCCATACCATGTGGGTCACCTCCCTGTCTGGGGATCGAACTCGTGCTGCAGTGGCTACAGATAGCTTCATAGTGCTGAAATTTAACCCCTTGAGCCACCAGGGTGGTCCTGAAAGCACTTTAGATCTCATCTCAGAGGCTGACGAGTGTGAGGCAGTTTAGAATGAGCATGGTTCTGCAGGAATGGGATCACGTCACAGTTAGCCAGCCCTTCAGTTCTGTCACTGGGTGATCTGACTAATTTCACTGACAAGTGCATATGAAAACCATAGCCTTGTTTAACCTCAGAGTTATTTCTTTGTGCTGTACAGTGTCGAAGCAACTATAACAAGACCTGAACTACAAGGCATTGAGGCAGTGAAAGCTCCCTCCAATACCACTGGGGCTATGTCATTCACCATTGTTTGGACCGGCTGCCTCCCCCATTTATGTAGCAGCTGGGACCTGAAGTCAATTGCATTTGGGACTCCCAGGGTAATCTGGTAGACCACAAGGGATGGCAGTATTTCCCTGCATTCTTCTTGCAGCCCCGGGCGAGCCAAGTGCAGACACCAAGATGAGCTCACCCATGCAGTGACGCTCAGTCAGACAAATGGCCGTCACTGATCTGCGAGCTAACCCAGTCCACAGCACACCCCACCTACCTCTTCATAGCTTCTAGACAGAAAGCCAAGTTCTTCTTTCAGTCTTTCTATTTGACTCTCCAGATCCATTTTTGTCAAGTTATCTTCATCAACGACTTTGTACGGGGAGTTAATTTCCTCTTCTGCTGATGCTCGAAGTGGCCGCTCATTTTCATGTCTGCAGATGAAGGAACTTAATCAGCACAGCTGGGTAACCCCAAAGAGAAAGAAGTCAGATGATAAATGTTACCAAAAGACCAATTATGTGATAAACAATGAATGTTAAAAGTCACTGTTTCAACAACATGAAGGGCCTTGGGAGTGCAATAGTGACACATTGATTTATGAAGATGAAAGAGATGGCAGCTTCGTGGCGGCCCTCTTATGGGACGTGGGGAGCACAGTTCTCTAGGGACAGCTCCCGGAGTTCAGGTCTAGGTAGGGGGTCTGATCATCCTCATTCTGATTTGTCATCCCATTAACCTGAGGGTGCTTTAATGAAATTGAGACCCTGCACAGTATCAGATTGGGTACTGGTGAAAGATAAGGTTCTGGTCCCAAAGAGCCCTTGTGAAATTTCAGGACTGGGTCTGCACACCTCCCTAGAAGGTGAGAAATCTTACATCATTCTTTCCACAGGGCAGCTTTAAGGCCGTAGGATTTCAAGGGACGTTAACATTCAACTATTCTAACTCCTACTTGGTTACAATTCCTTGCTAGAATTCCTGGTGTGTAGCTTCTGATTAAACACTTCCAGCGATGAGGATCTCATCTCTTCTCAAGGCCACATTCCACTTCCAGTTAGCTTTAGCGAATGCAAATTTCTTTCTGAAACAGGTCCCCGTTGCTGTCTGTAAGTATCAGAGTTGCACCCAGATTCAGTCTACTCGCTCCTACTACAGCCCTGCAAATATTTAGAGATGGCTCTCTATGTTGCTTTCCATTCTTCCCACGTTGTCCTCCCCACCAACCCTCCTTGAAGTCTTTTCTTCCTTAGGTCAAACACCCCCGTTTGCTCCTCCTTTCTTCATGTAAATGAGTCTCCATATCCTCCATGAATGAGGGCAGGGACTGTGACCTTTCTAGCTTTGTATTTTTAGCATCTAGCTCCTGGCTGAAGATATATTTGTGGAATGAGTAGAAATGCTCCAGTTCTTTCAAATGTGGCACAGAGAACAGAAGGAAACACTCCAGATGTTGCCTGATCAGTTTAGAGTCTCACTGTATTTATCATAGCCCCTAAGATTCACTTTGTTGTTTTTTGCTTGATTGTATGTTTGATCATTTGATTTTCACCAGCTGTATTTGCTGCTGACTAATATTCTCATTAGCTAGAACTCCTGAGCATTTTCACAAGAGTGGCTTGCCGCCCTGTTTCTTTGTCCTTTCTGGGGGTACCTGTTTCTTGAACCCTAAAGTCAGAGCTCACACTTATCTCCTTTCAATTTCATTAACCCATTGTTCCACTGGGACCTTTTTGAATCCTGATTGTAATATTCTACTCATCAGCAACCACCTGGCTTTGCATCTCCTGCCCTTTTTTTTTTTTTTTAAAGATTTATTTGTGCATACAGAACTGGGGTACAGGCCAGAGGCTCAGGGGCGGCGAGAGGCTTCACCAGAGACAGTGGTGCAGAACAGGCAGATCTACAAAGTACACTGCTGAGGGGAGCAGCGGGCGGGTCAGGAAAGGTCTGCCACACCATGTGGTCACCTCCAGGGCAGGTGGGAATCGAACTCATGCGGAAGCAGCTTTAGATTCTCAGTGCTGCGCTTTAACCCGTTGCGCCACCAGGGAGGGCCCCCTCCTGCCCTTTTGACACAACTGCTTCCGCACACCTTGTGCTTAAAGACAGTGAGTGAAGGGGCAGAGGCAGAGTGCTGTGGCAGGTTTCCAGAGCCTTCCTAAGAGTTGACCTGCGCCTTTGAGTTAGCACTTGGGACTTGGTACCTGAGCATTTTCCCACACACTATATGTAGGAATACATTTTCTACCTAGGTATAATCTTTATGTTGATTGTAGCAAGTCCTAGTCTTCCAGTTGAAGTGGAAACCCACCTCCATCCTGGGATGGGAGTGCTGCCCCACCCTGCAGCAGGGGTCACATGCCTCTGGAGTCCTGTTAAGCTCCCCTCTCCTGAAGCCTGGTCCCTTTGGGACATGCTCCACACAGAATGAGAGCGGTCTTAGGTTCCCCGGTAGACTTTTTTTTTAAGTTCATTAAAGACTTGAGATGTTTTTGTGATAATCTCCAAGGCTGCTGTTAAGCTTTTTACCACTCTTGTTATAATCTTTCCCTTTCCCCTACATTCTCAAGTCTTCAGTGAGCACCTCTGTGCTCATAACACCCAGAGTTTCCCCAACATTATCAATGGCACCCCACAATTCCCTCTTGGTTGCTCTACCATCAGTTCAAAACCAAACCCATTATTTACCCCTGTATTTTACACCAACTCTCCCCCTCCCCTTCTCGGCCCCCCACCAGGTTTCTATTTCAGTTGATAGAACTGTAAATCTTCTAAGTCGCCCAAGTTCAAAGCCTGGACCCTGATCTTTGACTTCCTTCCCCTCCCCCTCCCCCATCTCCCCATGGCTCTCATCCTAGCCTGGCCCTGAGCCTCCCATTGTCTTCTCAGACCTACCATCTTGGCTCCAGAGTCACTGTCTTTGAGCTCAGAAGCTTTCAGCTTGGTCCTCAAGACCTGCATCTCATCTGCTCCCGACACAGACCCTGCCCCTCCTTGGTCTGTCACTTCATTGCCATTGTTTCTTGGCCCACGGTCCTGCCTCTCTCTCTCTCTCTCTTTCCCACGAACACAAAGCTTTGTTTAAAGCTAAACTCAGGTCACAATGAGCCACTGCTGAAGTCCCTTCCACAGTCTTCTCGGTTCAGATAACTTCCAGGCTTGTTGTTGTGACCGACGTAATCCCCCAGGATCTGGTTTCTCTCCCTGGTTTTCAAGCTGGGCTTGTTTCTCCTTCATTCCTTCCAGATGCCCCTATTATAAAGAACTGCTTGTCATTCCACTAGCACACCACGCTTTCTCTCGTCCTGCCGCCTTTGTGCATACTGTCCCCCAGGAGTTCATGTCCCTTATTAATTTATCTGCCTGATCAATTTCTCTGATATGAGTTTGGGACTGACAGCAGGCATCACCTCTTTCGTCAACCCGCCCTGGCTAGGCTGAGGCTCTACGCTCACCTCAGCGATGGCGCACGTGGTCCGGGATGCCTTGTCTGCCCACTTCTCTGCCCTTGACATTAACCTGCGAGCTTGTAGAGGCCAGGAACCATAGCCAGTCCATTTCGCTCCCCACGCCTGCCAAAAGTCTGGCAGGCACTTTAACGTTTGTTGCATTCATTCATTTATGCATTCATGCAACAAATATTTATTGAGCATCTTCTTGGCACTGTTATAGATGCTGGTGATAGAGGGGAGAGTGACAATAGCCCGAGCCCTGTTTTCAGTGAGCTAACATTCTACTCTGTTGAGTGGCTGGTCAAAGGCACATATGAATGAGTGATTGAGGAATGTGTTATGGAACAAACGAATGAATGTTTCAGTCTGGTCCTACCTAATTTCACGGTTAGTTAAATTCCACCTTATATTCAGAGCAAATGGTTTCATGTCTTCTGGAATCTGTCTTTCGTTGTTCAGGAAAGTGTCTGGCTAGACAATGGCTTCATTTCTTTGTGCTCCTGTGATGCAGGCTAGCACAGTGTTGGGCAAGGCAGCAGCCCTGACTGGTTGAATCTCCAGGACTCCAGAGTGCTCACCAGTGGAGATCCTTTCAGCAGGTGGAAAAGCTTGTTCTCAGAAAATGGAAATGGTGTAGGGCCTGAGTGATGATAGGAATTCTCCTTTCATCACAAAAGCCTTCTCATCCCAAGATAAGAAAGGCCCTGGGGTGCAGATTTGCCCAGAGGTTTGCAGCCCCATCTATCTTTCTCCTTTGTTTTCACCAATCGAGGGAACAACAATCTCATCAACTGCCAGTTTGCCCAACTTCCAGGATCTCTTCCTTAAATAGCCTCAACATACTGGGTTCATTCATCAAAAAGTCCTATCTTCACTTTGTACCTCCACGAGCCCTTTTCCCCAAACCTCATTCACCTTCATGGTAATTTTAAGGGCCCAGGTTCATTCGAATCTGCAGCTGGATCGAGCATCCTTGCTCTGCATCATCCTCAAAGGGTGGCCTGAGGGCAGCAGCAGCAGCAGTGGGAGCTTGTGGGAATGTACATTTGGGGTCCCACCCAAGACCCACCCAATGAACCAGAAACTGAGGTTGCTCAGCTGGCGACCTCTGTTTTCTACAAGTCCACAGGTGAGTCTGAGCTGCACTAGATTTTGAGGCCCTGCTCTAAACCAAGTGCCACTTGATGACACCTGTTATTCCTGTGGTCTAGTTTTTATCCACAAGGAGGCTTTGAGCCTGATGTACTTAGTTCTGGGTGCCCCAGGCATCTCTGGCATCTTGCAGAGGTTAAAGTGAATTTGCAGAGACCACAGCTTTCACTGTGTTGCCCAAGAGTGGCATTAGAGGGTCTTCCCCTCTGCTGTAGGCTGTTATCTCTCTTTAAAGTTGTCTGCTGCAGCCTGAATATTCTCTGTCTGCAGCGCCAGCTGAGCGTTTTCCAAAATGTCTTCACCTCCATAGAAGGATCCCACACCAAAAAGTAAGGGTTACTACATGTCTCCCTCCAATGCTCACATGGCTAGAAAGCCTTTGGGGAACACTGAGCTCCTTTCTTGTAGCAAATATTCTTAGATGTCAAGTGACGTCTCTAAAAAGTGTGTGTATGGAAGAGAGAAACAATAAAACACAAAATAGGGTGCCTTATAAGAGCTTGCAGAACTGGGTTTCTGGAGCTGAGTTTTACGTTTGTTTCTGCATTATAAACTTAGCACCAGGAGGTAGACAGAAAGAGTAAAAGATGAAGGCAGATCTCGTGGTGCTGGGCAGAAAGGTGCTGATTGTACAGTTCTGGAGAGCAGAAAGGTGGTTGAAAGGGCAGTCACCCGGGTCCTGCCTTTAAACACTGCTCACATTTCAATCTACTTGCTTTCAGCATTTGCTGGGCTTTGCTGAGTGTGTGGATTTGTAATGTTTCCCCTTATAACTCCTTATAAACAAGGGCCCTTGGAGCCATCGGTGAAGAAGTCTGGTAGACATTGCAGACTGCTTGGAGGTGAGGGGCTGGCTGCTCAGGGTCTTTCTCTTTTGGTCTTGCTACAGCTTGACAGAAGTATTTTGGGGGATAACCTGGATACCGCCCAGCAGATAGGCTAGTGTTGTCCAAATGTCTGTCCTAGAAGGCTGTCTGGTACTAGGTTCAGGAAGCTGGAGCTCTTTCGGTGTTAGCTGTTGTTTAGTAACAACTAGGGGTTTATTTGAGCCTCAAGCGAGGCTAATTATAGCCTCAGACTTGCCAAAGTGCAGAGCTGGGCCTGCTTCTCCATTTCCCTCACAACTGGGATCCTAAATAACCCTCAGCTTCCTCCATCAGCCTTAGCAAGCCCGTCATTGTTCTGAAAGCACCTTCCCTTGGCAGAGGTAATGTTCTCTCCGCTGCTGATGCTACCTCAGGCTGAAGGGCCAGTCAGCTGAACTGATGAGGGTAGGGACCTTGCCTGATGTTTAGCACAGGCTGAGGACTGGGATGGTGGCCAAGGCCTAAAGGAAAACTTGCAGCCCACAGAGGAACAGGAAACATTTTTGTCTCTACCTGGGAAAACTTTGCAAAATACCCCCCAGATCAAGGAAAGGAAGCAGACAGGGGAGATGCTATTACTGGCCCCTAGGTAGATGCCCTGCTGAGGTGTGGAGCTGGCTGGGACCAGCTTGTGACACCAGACTTAAATATTTCAGTTTGGGGAATTGGTTAAATACAGTCAACATGAAAATTTTAATTATGTGAAATTATATTTAAGTCTCATTAAAAATGAAGGGCGGCCCTCCCTGATGGTGCAGCGAGCGGGTTAAAGCACAGCACTAAGAAGCTAAAGCCGCTTCTGCATGAGTTCGATCCCCGCCTGCCCCTGAGGTGACCACATGGCGCGGCAGACCTCTCCTGGCCCGCCCGCTGCTCCCCTCAGCTGTGTACTTCATTGATCTGCCTGTTCTGCTCCCCACTCTGTCTCTGGTGAAGACTCTCATTGCCCCTGCCCCTCTGTTCTGTACCCCAGTTCTGTATCATAAATCTTTTAAAAAAATGAAGGTCATAAAGACTCACTATTTCCTAATTGCTTTGCTATTGTGACAGTCATCTCTGCACTGCGTCATGTGTTTCTTGGGGTGGGAACCCCATGGCACGGGCCACGTCCATCTCCCACCTCTGTCTCCAGTAACAGCACATTGGTGGCCTGATGTTGGCCGCGGTGAGAGTATTACACCAGGGCTGTTGGCAAACATGCCAACCCAGAGCCTTTATCTACGGAGAGCCAAACAGAGACCAGCCCGCTGACTGCACTAAAGACTCACTCGTGTCTTCTGCTATGTGCTTTGATATTGAGCACTGGTATCAAAACACTCATTGTTACAGATGAGGCTCAGAGAGCTGAATTACCCAACATCACAGTTGGAAAAGTGGCAGAGTCAGAATGATAAGCCGGATCAAATATGACTCAAAAGCATGCATGTTTTTGCCATCAGCTTTGGAAAAGAATAAGGAGATACGCTTGGATTTTTTTCTCTTTTTCCCCATAACACCGAACAGATAGGATCCCTGTCTCCTCTTCGGGCTGCATCATGGAGATGAGGCGATATTCCCTGCTGTGTGTGGGGGTGCTCACCGAAGCAAACCTAACCAGTCCTTCTCCCACTGTGGACCCAGAGTTTTGGACTCAGCTCCGCACGCTGAAGCTGCAGCAGATCTGAGGGTCCCGGCTGAAGTCTGGAAGACCGGTGCAGCCCAGCACTTAGCTGTCAGACTCTAGAAGTTCATTTGTAGGATTTTATTTATTTTTTTTTTAAAGATTTATTTTTATTCATACAGAACTGGGGTACAGGCCAGAGATGCAGAGGGTGAGAGGCTTCACCAGAGACAGAGTGGGGAGCAGAACAGGCAGATCTACGAAGTACACTGCTGAGGGGAGCAGCGGGCGGGTCAGGAGAGGTCTGCCACGCCATGTCGTCACCTCCGGGGCAGGCGGGAATCGAACTCATGCAGAAGTGGCTTAAGCTTCTCAGTGCTGTGTTTTAATCTGCTGCGCCACCAGGGAGGGCCCCATTTGTAGGATTTTAAATGGTGACACACGTATATTAGCTCCTGGTCCTCTTGGATTTATGGCTGAAGTGGATGGCATGGTCAGATTGTCTTTCCAGAGGAGAAGGCAATAAACATACCAAATATAGTAGTTGCTTTTCCAAAGGACTCTGTCCCTCTGGGACCTCTCTCTAAGTGCCCTTTTCACCAGTCTCTAGATTAAACTTTTCTTTTGCTTTTGTGAAGAAAACAAAACCCAAAAATCTCCCAAATGCAGATTCAAGCAGGCATGGGGCTGGCGCTGTGAATACAAGTGAATTTGCTCCCTATCGTGGGAGCTCTCCAGCCATCTTCTAGTAGGAACAAAGAATAAACTAATCAGACACTTGTCCTAAGGGTAAACTTTAAGTTGGGCTAGCTGGAAGTTTGTACAGAGGATGCTGGGAAAATGGGCAGGGGCTTGACTCTGCACTCCTTCCATTCCAACAGGGCAAGAACTCTGACATTAAGGTTACAGGACTGAACGCCCGGTCTCCAGTTAAGAGGAGACACTGTCATGGCAGCATTAGGATTAATTGCTGTATGAGATGAGGCAATCTTGAGGGCATAGGACTCAAGCCTGGTAAATGCTGGGGGAGAGAGGAACAGGAGTCACCTTCAAAACATTAAATGCAGTGGTGGAGAAGAGCAGGGGGTGGTCAATGACCAGCTTGGGGAGGATGGGCTGTCACACCTGGATGTGTTTTGAGAAGGATGGGGTGGGAGGGGAAGGGCCGGCCGACACTAGCTAGTGTCAGCTCAAATGGTGCCAGCTTGCCTCAGTTTACTTTCTTGCAGCCATCTTCTCCTGGGCCGCTCGTGGAGGCTTCTCAGCATACTCCACATGAGTGCTTCTCAAAGGGTGGTCCCTGGACTGGCAGCATCAGTACTGCCTGAAGCTGGTGAGCAAGCAGATGCTCATCTGCCTCAGAGCGCAGGCAGAATCTCTGGAGCTGACACCCAACTACCTGTGCTTGAGCAAGTTTTCTATGGGCATACTCGAGTGTGAGAAACTGCTTTACACAGACCTGCCTCAGCCCCCAAAGGCTGCTTCCCTGGCTGCTTCTGGAATGCCACAGTGTCCTTGCCATCGACATTGCTGCTATCTGGGGCAACTGTTTTACCACCTTATACTGCTAGTCATAGTAACCGGTAGGTTACATCAAAGCCCTCTAATGCTCATCTCAAACTTGGCTTCCTCTAGGATGCTTTTTGTTCACTCACATCTTTGCCTTTATTCTTTCAGGGTTATTTCCTCTGTGCCAGCTTCTGTGCTGACTGGAGGGTAATCAGAAAGGGGAGGTCAAGACCACATCAAAGGTGTATACTTGCGGGAAGGCCTTGGGACCGTGGGAAGGAGGTGGAGAGTGCTGGGGAGGCTTTGAGTGAGGCACAGGTGTCAGCTGTGTGGGAAGAAGCTCCTGACTTCTGGAAGGGAAGCTTGTGGGATGCAGGAGGTCAGCCCAGCCCAGCCAGGAGGCCCTTGCAGTGGCTGGGGTAGAAGATGGTGGCTGTGACTAGGGCTTGTGGGAGCAGTGGGGAGAAGCAGACAGGTTAAAACATGCTTGGGGGACAAAACAAATTGTAGTGGTGAAAATGTCATGGGGAGAATGGGTGAAGAAATAAAGGCCAATGGGCCCTCCCTGGTGGCTCAGTGGCTTAAAGCGCTGCACTACTAAGCTAGCTGTGGCTGCTTCAGAGTGCATGAGTTTGATCCCTGGCCAGGGAGGTGACCCACATGGTGCTGCAGACCTCTCCTTTCTACCCGCTGCTCCCCTCAGCAGTGTACTTTGTCAGTCTGCCTGTTCTGCTCCCCAATCTGTCCCTGGTGAATCCTCTCACCATCCCTGCACCACTGACCTGTACCCAGGTTCTGTATGCATAAAGAAATCTTAAAAGAAAGAAAGAAAGAAAGAGAAAGAAAAGCAATCAAGGCCAATGCTAGGATTTTAGTTTCCACTGGGTGCATGGAGGGACTTTGATGACTTCTCCCTCCCTGGAGTTCATTCCTCAGTCACACCCAGCCCCCAGGACGCCAGTCTCTTTCACCAATTAGCATAAACACTTGGGAGGCAGGGCTGCCTCATGCTTGAGTCAAGCTCATCCACTCACCAGCGTGGGCCAGTTATTAAGTAACTGAGATTTGGTTCCCTCATCCTTTCAATGAAGAGACTACAGTTCTCTGCCTCATCAGGTAGTTGTGATCATCAAATGAACGCAGTGCTGGGCTGCTGCTGTGGGCAGGCAGGCAGGTGGTAGTGGTTGTCACTGTATTTGTCTTCTCCACACTCAACTGAACTGCCAGCTGCATAGGGCACAAAAGGTTGCCCAGTGACTGAATCTTCCAGGGGCGTGAGGTTTGCCACTGAGCCTGAGTGCACAGGCAGTGGAATGAAGACGTCCAT